CTCGGGTGTACGTACACCGTATGTGGCTACCAGCTGTATTGCCTGAGGCTTCTTATGTCTTAGGCATAAGAGTGTCGAGCTCTAAGTACTGGCCATTAGCTATTAGCTGCTGCAGCTGCAGCAGCAGCAGCAGCAGCAGCAGCAGCAGTTGCTGCTGCTCTTGCTGCAGTTGCCAGATTGAGAGCTTACTAGCAGGAGGTTTGCTGCTGGTACAAAGGAGGGCTGTTGCGCTGCCGCAGTCCCCTACACCTCCTCAATGCATGCAGCAGCAGCAGCAGCAACTGCAACAGCAGCAACTGCAGCAGCACCTAGCGCTGCAGCTGCAGCAGCAGCTAACCACCAATAATGCCCCACAGCTAATGCTGCTGCAGCTGCTGCACCTTGCATGTGCTGCACAAGGATGTACACTAGAGGGACTGCAGCAGCAGCTAATGCATGCAAGCCCTGTCAATGCGCCTGCTGCTGCTGCTGCTGCTGCTGCACCGTTGTGGAGTCTAGCAGCAACAGAGCCATGGGCAGCAACACTGCAGCAGCAGCTGCTGCCGCATGCAGCAGATAAGACAATTGGTGCAGTTTCCTTTAGAGGAGAGGGGCTGTTGCTGCTGCTGCAGCTGCTGCACCAACTGCAGCAGCAGCAACAACAGCAGCAGCAGATACTGCAGGTCAATGGATTGAAGAGTTTGCTGCAGCTGCACAACGGTGGCGATTGCCCAGCAGCAGCATCTGCTGCTGCTGCTGCAGCAGTAGATATCCCTGCAGCAGAGCAGCAGCTTGCTGCTGCTGCACAGTGTCTCTTTGCCCGAGATGGTGCTGCTCCAGCAGCAGCAGTAACAGCAGCAGCAGCAGCAGCAGATTTGCTGCCCCTACAGGAGTGTGCCTTGGAGGATAAGTTGTATGCGTTGCCGCTGCTGCAGCACTTCTCATCATTTGCTGCAGCAGCAGCAGCAGCAGCAACAGCAGCAAGCTACTGCCCAGATCCGCTGCAACTGCGGGGTCTACGTTTGCTGCTGCTGCTGACGTCTCCTGTCCCCTTCAGTCCCCACGCCCCTTCAGGCAGCAGCAGCAGCAGCAACAGCAACAGCAGCAACAGCAGCAGCAGCCGCAACAGCAGTAAAGACCTAAGGACGCCCCTTGTATCAAGGTCGCTGCTGCTGCGCTGCAGCAGCAGCGCAGCAACAGCACTGCAGAGAGGGGAGGCGCAGCAGTGTGCCTTCCTTGCTTATTATGCAGGCTGTCTGCATGCAGCAGCAGCAGCAGCAGCAGCTGCTGCTGCTGCTAAGGAAGCTTCTAGTGTATCTGTTGTGGGGCAGGTGCAGCAGTTCCTGCTGCTGCTGCATGCAGACTCGTCGCAGCAGCAGAAGCTATTTGCTGCAGCAGCAGCAGCAATGAGGGAGTGTACAGACAGAGGAGCACAGCAGCAGCAATCTGCCACAGGAGGACAGCAGCTTTGCTGCTGCAGCAAGGTTCAGCTGCAGCAGCAACAGCAGCAACAGCAACAGCAGCAGCAGCTGCTGCTGCTGCAAGCTGCTAGTGCAGCATATCTGCTGTTTCATGATTTGCCGCTGCTGCCTCAGTGGGTCACCTTTGTTGCTGCTGAAGTGCCGCTGCTGCTGCAGCTGCTGCTGCAGCAGCAGCAGCAACAGCAGCAACAACAGCAGCAGAAACACCAACAGCAGCAGCCCGTGATTAGTGCATCCGTTGCTGCTGCTGTTACACGTGTTGCTGTTGCTGCTGCTCCCTCTGCTTCTATTGAGGGGCAGCGGCTGCTGTGCTCCGTCCTTCAGCACTTTTGCTGCGCCTTGCTGCTGCTGCAGCAGCAGCAGCATTAGCAGCAGCAGCAGCAAGCAGTGCTGCTGCTGCTGCTGCTGCCAAGACAACTCGGGTGTACATACACCTAAGACAAACGTTTGTTTTAATAATAATATGTTTTCTTGTTTCTGCATGCAGCAGCAGCAACAGCTGCAGCAGCAGCTCTTGCTGCTGCTGCTGCTGCTCCTCCTGCAGCAAGGTAACCAAACTATTGATCTTTCCTGCTGCTATCTGCCTGCTTCTGCTGCCGGCCACGACGCTGTGCCGTGTCAGCAGCAGCAGCAGCAGCAGGAGGTGCAGCAGCAGCAGCAGCAGCAGCATATTCATGTTTAACTGCGAGTACTGCATATGCTGCAGTAAGCAGCAGCAAAAGAACGCATGCAGCAACACCAGCTATAAACATATTATCTGCTGCTGCTGCTGTTGGTCTCTGCTGCTGCAGCAGCTTATATGTACCCCACAGCAGCAGCAGCGGCAGCAGCAGCAGCAGCAAAGACCAACAAATAAATTCGCGCAGCACAAGTCTATTCTCCTCATGAAATAATACTTCTCTTAGACTACGACGCTGCTGCTGCTGCTGCTGCTGCACTTGCTGCAATTGCTGCTGCTGCTCTTGCTGCTGCACTTGCTGCTGCTGCTGCTGCTGCTCTTCTTCCTGCTGCTGCTTCGATGTACGCTCACCTCGCCTACGAGCAGCAGACTCCTGTGGGGCCCCCATTACTGCTGCAGTCGTCTACTTCTTGCTGCTGCTGGTACTGTCTAATTGCTGCTGCTGCTGCTACGGCTGCTGCTGCTGCTGCTGCTGCTGCAGTCGACACTACCGCTGCAGCAATACGCAGCAGGAATAGCTGACGGTAGTAAGGATCTGCTGCTGCTCGACTGTTGCTGCCGCTGTTGCTGCTGTTGTTGCTGCTGCTGCTGTCGATATTGCTGAGGCTTCTGCTGCTCATGCCACGGAGGCTCGCTCCTGCTGCTGCTGGTCCTGCTGCTGCTGCTGCTCCTGCTGCTGCTCCTGCTGCAGTGTTATCTGATTCCGAATACACAGACAAGCCTGTGTGCTGCTGCTGCTGCTGGTTCTGCTACTGCTGCTGCTGTTCCCCCTCCTTGCTGCTGCTGCTGCTGCTGCCAAATCGAGTGGCGACGACCTTATGGATCTTGCTGCTAGTAGCGTAGACACCTGAGCTGTATATACACCGTAAACCCTAAACCCTAAACCCTAAACCCTAAACCCTAATTTCTGTAGAGTGTATCTTTATTAAACTATTTATATTTCATTGAATTTGCTGCTGCTGCTCTTGCTGCTGCTGCTGCTGCTGCGTGTGTACTAATGAACTGCTGCTGCTCTTTCGCGGGGCTGCAGCAGCAGCAGCAGCAGCAGTAGCAGCCCCAGCAGCAGCAGCAGCAGAGTGTCTTTATTGCATTTATTTGTTGTTAAGAATTCCTTTTTTCTTTATTTATCCTACATTATTAATCCTTCTTGCTGCTGCTGCTGCAGCTGCTGCTGTTGCTGCTGCTGCGGTGTCTGCAGGACACCAACTGCTCCGGCAAACAGACAGACACTCTTGCTGCAGCAGCTGCTGCTGCAGCAGCTGCTGCTGCTCGAGCCTAGCAGAGGAAGACTCCTTAGCTGCTGCTGCTGCTGCAGCAGGAAGTCCCGCGTCTCCCTGAGCCGCAGCTGCAGCACATCAACAGCAACTGCAGCAGCAACAGAACCAGTAGCAGACATAACATCTGCAGCAGCAACAACAACAACAACAGCAGCAGCAGCAACAACAACAACTGAATCATCAGCAGCAGACGCAGCAGGAACAGCAGCAGCTGTCATTAACCTAACAACAGCAGCAACTCCCTGTACTCCTCCTCCCGCTGCTGCTCCTCCTTCTGCTGTTGCTGCTGCTGCTGTTGCTGCATAATGACGGGGCCTCTAAGGCCCCCAACGTCTGCATGCAGTTTGCATGCGCTGCAGTCTATGCTGCTGCATGCAGAGGAAGTTGGGGCTGTCTCCCTTTCTCTTTCTTATGGTCTTAATATTATTAATAACTTTAAACATAAACTAAAAGATGAAGGTTGGTTGCTGCTGCTGCTGCTGCTGCTGCTGCTGCTGCTGCTGCTGCTGTTGCTGCTGCTGCTAGTGTTGGTGCTGCTGCTGGTTGGGGTGTTGTTGCTGCTGCTGGTTGTGCTGCTCCTATTGTTGCTGCTGGTGTTGGTGGAGGAGTACTGCTGCTGCTGCTGTTGACTGCTGCAGTTACATCTCCTTTGTCTCTGTTGCTGCTGCTGCATCTGCTGCAATTGCTGCTGTTGCTGCTGCTGCTGCTGCTGCTGTTTGTGTTGCTGCTGCAGTGTGGTCTGTATACGAGGCTGTTTATCTTGCTGCATTAACTCTTAATAAACCTAATATATATAAGGTAAACAATCTATACAGCAGCAGCAGCAGCAGCAGCAGCAGCAGCAGCAGCAGCAGCAGCAGCATATGTAGCGATGGTTATTGCATTGGAAGCAAGGAAGAATTTGTTGCTGCACTTGCTGCTGCAGCATTTGCTGCTGCACTTGCTGCTGCAGCATTTGCTGTTGCTCGTGTTGCTGCATGTGCTGCTGCATGCGTTGTTGCTGCTGTGTTGCAGAGCTGTTACGCTGCGTTAGCAGCCCGTTGGGGTGGCAGCAGCAGCAGCAGCAGCAGCAGTTTATTAAGCTGCAGCAGCAAAAGGTTACGTAGTTTAGTGCTGCTGCAGCAGGAAGCAGAAGGAAGAGCTGAGGATACACTCCAATTATTATCTGATTACCTGCAGATACACCCCGGGGATGTAGGGGCAAGAAGAAGAGTTGCTGCTGCTTATAAAATACAGGTACCTCTTGCTGCTGCTGCTGCTCCTGCTGCAGGTGGTGGTGCTGCTGCAGGTGGTGCTGCTGCTGCTGTTGCTGCTCTTCATCTTGTTTACCTTTTAAGTTATAGTCTATTGTCTGCTGCTGCTGCTGCTGCTGCTGTTGCTGCTGCTGCTGCTGCTGCTGCAGGGGAATTACAAGAGCTGTATTTCCTTTCTTATTGCGTAAGTCTATCATACTAACAGCAGCAACAGCAGCAGCAGCAGCAGCAACAGCAACAGCAGCAGCAGATAAGTATTGTTGATAATATACTAATACATAAATAAATAAATAAAATTATTTATTTATTTATTTATTTATTTATTTATTTATTTATTTATTTATTTATGCAGACACCTAAAGGAGTATGGAGGAGACAAGGAAGGATGGCAAGAATTAGCTGGGGTGTACGTACACCTCGTGCTGCTGCAGCAAGCAGCATTTGTTTATGAAGAATTATTGATTAGATCCCCTAATAATCTTTATTATCTTCTTTCTTATGGAGAGGTAATTATAAACCCTAAACCCTAAACCCTAAACCCTAAACCCTAAACCCTTATTTTTTTTTTTTATTTATTTTATTTATTTACCCTTATTTTATACTCTATGTATATACATTTATTATTAAACCCTAAACCCTTATTTATTCATAAACCCTAATTCATAAACCCTAAACACTAATAATATATAACAATACAGGATAAGACGAGGGTTTATAATTAGGGTTTATAATTAGGGTTTATAATTAGGGTTTACTAATAAATAAGGGTTTATGAATAAATTATTGTTAATTAATATATAAGTGTTTATTAATAAAATAAGTGTATATAAATAAATAATATTGTTTATAAATAAATTAGGGTTTAGGGTTTAGGGTTTAGGGTTTAGGGTTTTGGGGTGTATACGCAGCTCCAGTGCTCACTGCAGCAGCAGCAAATAGGTTGCTGCTATTTCTCTCGTGTCTTGCTTCTTAATAAAAATAACTTTAGGGCCCTATGGGACCTACTACTAGTAAGTGTCTCCTTATTTATTTATTTATTTATTTATTTATTTATTTATTTATTTATTTATTTATTTATTTATTTATTTGTCTCCTTTTTATTAAGTGTCTCCTTTTTATTTTCTTGTTGCTGCTGTTGCTGCTGTTGTGTATGTGTTGTAGGGTGTACATGACATAGTGCTGCAGCAGCAGCAGCAGCAGCAGCAGCAGCAGCAGTCTGGTTCAAAGCAGCAGCAGGGTTCATCAAGACAGCAGCAGCAGCAGCAACAGCAACAGCAGCAGCAGCAGCAGCAGAGGGGGAAGCAGCAAAGGAGACGCAACGAAGACATAGAGACAATTAGATCTATTTGCTGTTTTGTTCAATTAGCAATAGAGGCAGCAAATAGACTTACTAATATCTACCAGACACAGCAAAAAGAGGTAAGCAGCAGCAGCAGCAGCAGCAGCAGCAGCAGCAGCAGCAGCAGCAACAGTAGTAGCAGAAGTAGCAGCACAAATAGCAATGCGTGCAGCAGCAGTGCAGCAGCAGCAGCAGTAGTAGCAGCAGTATCTTAGTCATGCTGCAGCACAAATGGTACATTGCTGCTCAGTAGAAGCAGCATCTGCTGCTGCTGCTGCAGCTCATGCTGTTGCTGTTGCTGCTTCTCATGTTGCTGCTATTGCTGCTGCTGCTGCTGCTGCTGCTGTGTGTGCTGCAGAAAGGAGACAGTCTCCTTGCTGCAGCAGCAATAAAACGAATTGATACAATTTCTAAGGCCATCAAGGATTACCAAAAAACAATTTAATTGCTGCAGCAGCAGCAGCTGCAGCTGCTGCTGCTGCTGCTGCTGCTGATGTCGTTGCTGCAGCAGCTGCTGCTGCAGCAAAAGCAGCAGCAACTGCTGCTGCAGCTTATTATACCTGCAGTCCCTTTTTTGCAATTATTTCTTGTTGCGGACTGTGGATTCAGAGTTGCTTGCAGCAGCAGCAGCAGCAACAACAGCAGCAGCAGCAGCAGCAAATTGATTATATTGACTGTGCATGCTGCTGCAGCGCTTGCTGCTGCAACTAAAGAAGGGTGCAGCAGCTGCAGCAGCAACTGCTGCAGCAGCATTTGCTGCAGCAATAAACTGCTGCTTTAATGGAGTTGGGGTCGAAGAGTCACCAACAGAGTCCTGAGGGTTTAGGGTTTAGGGTTTAAGGGTTTAGGGTTTAGGGTTTAGGGTTTAGCTCCTTCCATAAGAGAGCTTTATGAGCCTTTAGCTTATACTTGTTCCTCCTGCTAGGGTTTAGGGTTTAGGGTTTAGGGTTGTAGGTGTGGCTAGCTAGCTAGGGAAACAGCTAGGTAAGGAGAGGGAGACAGCAGTAAACCCTAAACCCTAAACCCTAGCTGTCTACCTCCTTAGCTAGCTGTCTCTCTCCCTCTAGCTAGCTGTCTCCCCCGCTAGCTAGCTAGCTGTATCTGTATATAGCTAGCTGTATCTTTGTATGGCTAGCTGTATATGGCTAGCTGTGTCTTTTTATATGACTAGCTGTCTGCTGCTGCTGTTGCTGCTGCTGCCGTTTCTGCTGCTGCTGCAGCCTCCCCTGACTTCTGCTGTTGCTGCAGCAGCAGCTGCTGTATGTACAACTTGTGTGTGAAGAGCAGTACGGCGTATGCAGTCGGCAGCAGCAGGAGCAGCAGTTGCTGCTGCTGCTGCTGCTGCTGCTGCTGCTGCTGTTGCTGCTGTTGTGTCTACTTATATCTTTTCTTTTGTTGTTTTTATATTTTATTTATTTATAAATAATAAATTATAATTTAATTAAATAAATAATTATAATAAATAAATAAACAGCAGCAGCAGCCGCAGCAG